GCCACTGCAGGACAGCAGGCAGGAGCCTTCAGCCCCGCTGCTGATGAGAAACCCATATCCCGTGGCTGCTGGAGGTCCCACCCTTCCTCCCTGGCCACCCCTGGGACGAAGCATAGCTCCTGCCTGGAGGGGAAATCCTCCCCCTCGCCCTCACCTCCCGTGGGGCTTGGAGCCAGCCAGGTCACCCTCAATCCCTGCTGCAGCAAGAGGATTTGAGGTGCAGGCTCCCAGAGCCACCTTTCTGTTCTCATATCCCAGCGGAGGTTTCTTTTACAGCCCCCTCGCTCTCTGCCCCCAGCCCAGCACGCTGTGTCCCATCACCGGTGCTTCACCCCAGCCTCTCCCTCAGCCTCCAGTGCTTCCAGCAAAATTCCTTTCTGACCAGTCATTGCCGCCCCTCAGCCTTGACGCCTGTGGGACTGGTGTGCTGGCAGGGCTGGGCTTCCTCTTCCTGAGCCGCCCCAGCCCCGCCACACTCCCGACCCCCTCCTCGCCTTCACCCAGTGCCATGGCATTGGCCCTTTCCTGGGGGCACGAGGGCACAGGGCCTGCCAGCTGTGCCCACCCCAGGGTTCAGGCACCCAGTAGGGGTGCCCAGCTTCCCTCACCCTCCCCGGGGCAGCCGCATCCCACACGCAGCCTGTGCCACGGTGGTCCCACCACCCCCAGTGGGTTTCTGTGAGAGGATGATTTACAGCCCCAGTTTGGGCAGGGAGCGTGCAGAGGATGACTGTGGGGAATCGCTCACTGCGAGGCAGCTGGGAGGAGTGGGAAGCAGCAGGGACGAGTGGGAGGCAGTGGCTTCTGGAAGGGAGCTCAACCCCGTGGAGGTGTGAGGACTCCTGCCAACATCATCTGCCTAGCAGCACTGCTGCTGCTGCTCCCCCTCCCCTCCCAGCATCCATCCCAACTCAGGTCTCACATCCAGCATTTCTGGAGCTGGACCCCATGCTGACACCCACATCTTCCCTGCACACAGCCAGCACCCACTCGTTCACCCCTCGCTGCATGTGCCAACACTCAGCCCCAGCATCACCCCCTGGCACCCACAGTTCCCCTCAGTTTCCCACAGTGGCACTGCCTCTCCTTATTAATTTCAGGATGAATGCTTTGCTTTTCCACAGTCCCCTTCACCTGTGGCTCTCCCAGCATTGTGCAGATATTAATTACTGATAATTAATTAAGTCAGGCATCCCCATTCCCCTGTGGAGATGCTGTCTCATAAACAGGCTGACAGCAAACACAGTGTCAGGGCAGGCAGAGCTGGGTGGGAGCTTCCTGTTGCTAATGATCCAAACCTCACCTGCAGCAGCTTCTACCTGATAGACCTTCCTGGAGGGCTAATGGGCTGGGAGGGGGAGATAGGTGGGAAACCAGCAGCACCTGGTTTGGTCTCAGCAAGGTAGGATGGATGGATCTATTTTGCCTCTGGCTGTCTCTGTGCAGCTTCTGCTCCTGGATTGCTACTAGTTTACTGTGGCTGTGGGACGTGGGGCTGCCTGGGTAGGAGAGAGGGGGGCCAAACTGCTGATGGAGCTTGTTTTGAGCCACCTTGTTATTTGCATTGGTGTTGAGCTGCAAACCCTCCAAGATAGATGGGAATTATCCTCTGTCAACCCTGAAGGGTTCAGAGTGTTCCAGAGGCAGCATAAGGGTTCAGCATTTCCCCATCCCACTGCTCCTTAGTGGAGGGCTGGGACTCTGTGCAGGAAGAGGACAGGAAGACAAACAAGGTTGTTGACCCTTCTGAAGTGAAGGAGGGGGATTGCCCAGGGATGCACAGCAGGAACTTGCAGTTTGCTCACTGCAGAGTAGCTTGGAGGATCCCTTGGGCAGGGTCCCTCTGCTCTCCTGGGTGACAGAGCTCCTCTGGGCAGCCATGGGTGTTGTTTGGGGGTCTCTCCCCTGCCCAGGTCACCCACTCCCTCACTTGTGTGCGGCTGCCACTGCCTGACCCTGAGGCTGCACGGGGCACCAATCCCTGACCGGAGGTGCCACCTTAATCCGGATCAGTGGGAAATCTGTCGAGTGCCCACGCAGCCCCGTGGCAGCTCACTGCCACTCCTGGGGCTCTGCAGATCAAGAGCCAGCTGGGACATGGGCACAGCCCTGCAGGAGCCTGGCCCTGGGCAGCCTTTCTGTATGAGTGTGGAGCACAAATGCATTAACTGTTGGACGGAGCTAGCTCACCCAGCAGCCGCTCCGCAAGCAAAAGCAGGAGCAAACCGGGGTGAGATTAAGGCATTCCTTGGGCAGCTCCCACCCCCTTGCCCTGGCCACTGCATCTCGGCCTGCAAGGCCACTAATGCTACTTACATTATTACTGGATTATTTGGATGTAATGAGCTTTGCCCCGCTCAGCTGTCCCTCTGCTCAGGGCTGTAGTGATGTGTAATACTTCCTGCGCGAGGCCACGAGGCGGGCAGCTGCCGGCTGGAAAACAAGCAGAGCCCCAACAACACAATGCGTTAATGTTCCCGGACAAAATTCCAGCATGGGCTGGAGGTTAATCACAAATCAGGGAGCTTTGGGTGTAGCGCTGAACAAAGCCAGCGGGTGGGAGGGAGATGGTTCCCCGCCCCCATGGGCACAGGCGGGAGCGACCATATCAGTTCCATCTCTTTCTGTGGTGTAACACAGCTATAACCGTCTCTTCCATCCTTGGCTCCTTTTCCTCTGCCTTCCTCCCATCAGACCTGCCGATGCAGGGGCTTGGCAATGTGTTGCTATGGACACCAGGAAGTTTTTCCCTAGAGACCAGAAGCCCGGAATAAGTGATGCCTGCATTTTCTGACATAGGTTATTATTTTTTTTGTTCCCCTTTTTTTATTATCAATGTTTGTTTAAATGTTGATTAATTCCCAGCTTTTCCTCCCGCCTCTGTCATGCTTTTCTCACCGAGCTTTGTGGATTTCTGTGGCTGTGTCCAGGGCTTGGCTTCTGCTTCATTCTGGGCCAGGGCGTGAGCACTGGGTGTGTGGGAGGAAGTTTCAGTGCTGTAACTCTTGCTCTGCTGGAGACCCTCACAGAAAAGATCCCCCATTTATTCCAGCCTTGGGAGATCCTGTTGGTCTCCCCAGGCTACTGCAGAGCTCATGGACACACACCACCACCAGCAGCTGCCACAGGAGGTCCTGGATACCTGTTCCCAGGGTTTGTGCCTCTTGGCAAAACATGCTTGCGAAAGCGTGGGTAGAGGTATCCTGCTCCCTTCATTGTGTTTGGGAGCTTAAAATGATTAGGTTTAGACTAGTTAGTGTCTCTATTGGTCTGAGCTCCAGGCCTGACTCCCATTTTGTCGCTTCTCTGTTGGCACTTGGTATCCTTTAGTGCCTGTATTGGTCTCTGAGAGCTCTTCGCCTGCAAAAGCGCGATCAGGAGGGAAGTCCCAGCAGCTTTTGGAAGGCTGGAGCTTGAATTTTGCAGCAGGGCACTCACAGGAATGTACCTCAGCTTCCCTTGCAGCCCTCAGGTTGAGCTTGGTGAGGCAGCCTCTCCCCAGCAGCTCCACAGACCAGGGGATGGAGCAGTGGTCAGGGAGGGTCAGCCCATTTCCCAGAGGGAAGCAGTGGTGCATGTCTGCAGAGCGTATCTCTGGGCAGTTGGCATACAAAATGGGATTTTACTGTGAGACAGTCTCAATGTCATTTTGACTTCTCATTCTTTGCTTTTGAAGCCAATAATGGGCTGCTTCTGTTCCCTGTCACTTGATCTGCCCCTCAGTGACTGAGGAGCCTCTGATGAGTGATCTTCTCTGTCCTGCGCCCCTTATTCCCAGCTCTGGAGGGACTTCACAGACTGGCTTTCAATCAGCTGCTTCTCTTGTTCCTGGGAATGCAGTTCAGCACTGGGTCAGAAAATCTCTGACCCATTGAAACGCTGCCTTTTGCTGCTCAAGTTGCCCAAGTCGTGACTCCCTCTCGGAAATCTTACAGCAAATAAGCCCTGTGCTGCTTGGCCCCTGCCTGCAGGGGCTGGCATGGTGTCAGCCTGCCCAGACCTCCTGCACAGCCCAGGCACTTGCAGGTGAGGCAGGGAAAGCAGGAACTGCTCAGTACAATGTTTTCTCTGTGTGTTTGGGGGTTTTGTTGAGGCAGCAGAAAGATCCCCTGCTCCATATGGATCCTATCCTGGGTAATGGGGTGAGGCTGCTGAGCATCACCTTCATGGTGTTCTGCAGAGCTGCTGGAGGGGGATGAGGAGTGGAGGTGAGTCTCTGGACTCTCTGAAGCAGGAGAAGGATGGCTCTTGCCCACAGTTCTGTGGGAGCCACGCCACCCTCCCCTCCCCTGTGGCCCCCAGCTCAGCACAGAGCTGCACGTGCCACGGTGCCACTCCGGAAGGAGCAGCGGGGCTGGGATGCTGCTCCTTGCTGAGGAGGTGAGAGTCCCACCAGGGCCAAACACTCAATTGCCGTGATGTTTGAAAGCTCCTTGAAAAATTACTTCTCCTTCCAGTTCCTAACCAAACAAATGGAAGCTCCAAAAAAACAGCAGTTCCTTCCCCTGCTACTGCCAAATCGGTGCTCGCTGGGCTGTTTCTGAACGGGTCAGCAGCAAGCCAGGGCTGCCTGAGGGCTGAGCAGAGCAGTGGGTAGCTGGTCCCTGTGTTGTCCTTCTGCACCTGCTTAGGAGACGGGAGAGCATCCAGGGAGGCATGCTTGGCTTTGGGGCAATGCTGCAGGTGACCTGGCTGTCCATGCAGGGACAGGGAGCAGTGCTTGGGCACTTGCACTGCAGACCAGTGAGCCTGACATGGGACGTGGCTCTTTTGCGGGGCAGGGAAATCCCAAATCCAGACAGGGATGGGCACCCAGCTCAGAGTCGCTGGGTGCTGTCCTTTGCCTTTAGTGATGTCCTGATGTCCAGCAGCCGTGTCGCTGTCACCGGAGGGCTCTTTGGCAGCTGCCCAGCAGAGGTCAGTGCAGTGACACCCAGCTGTGTCCCAGATGCTAACAGACCCCTCCCCTCTCTTGTTTTCCCCTCCCTCTTTTCTGCCAGCAGTTCCCTATCAGCAAAACCCCTACACCCCTGGGAGCAGCTCCTCCGTGATCCAGTGCTACCGCTGTGGGGACACCTGCAAGGGCGAGGTGGTGCGTGTCCAGAGCAATCACTTCCACATCCGCTGCTTCACCTGCCAAGGTAGGTGGCCAGGTTGCCCCACCACCCCGGGTGCAGTTTGGAAAGCAAAATTCTGGGGACAGACTTACCTGGCCCTCTGAGATGTGGTCACATGCCCAGGGGTGGCAGCTTCGTGCAGGGGTAAGTGGCATGGCACAGGTGGGAGGTAACGGCACGGTGCCTCTGCCTGATGCCAGAGCCTATGAAGGGATGGCCAAGACCTCAGCAATGTCACTACCCTTGAGCAACCTCAATGCCAGCAGTGTGCGGGTACAAACGTGCCCATGGCCCATCTGTGATGTGGCTGGGCCACCACCTCCTTCAGCTGCCTGCCCCCAAATCAGGAGGAGGAGGAGGGAGGTATTGCCAGCCTGGCTGAGAGGCAGTGAGGTGATACTCGAGTGGCTCCTGATGGGGTTGGAGCTGGGTGACAGATCACTGCCACCCACCCAGGAGACGTGACTGAGGTGTTGTGGGATGTCATGGGATGCAGCTGGGACTCGGTGGCCCTCAGGGCTGCCAGAAAGGGAGGAGAGAGGTTGTTTGAATCCTCCCTGAGCACCAGAGGAGAGCTGCAGAGCTGTAAAGCTAATGGTGCAGAGCTGTTGTGAAGGGCTCCTCAGCACCTTTATTAGAGCAGCTGCTCTCAGCCAGGCCAGTGGCTGCTTCTGTATGCTGTAAAACATCCCATTTCAGGCCTTTTTAAAGGTCTCTGGTCTTCCATGCTCCCAACACTTTGTACTAAGCAGGATATAAATCCCCATCCCCGTGGCCATACTTTGCTGCTCTTTCCCAGAGAACAGCTGGTTTGGGTGCAGGGGACACTTCCCTGGACGGTCCCCACTCCTGCTGCAGCCCTGTCCCCTGTGGCATGGGCAGCCCTGGATCTCTGGGAGAGATGTGGGTCCCAGGCTGCCCTCGGGGCTGACCTACACCTGCAGGGCACCGTGCTGAGCATCCTGCCCTTACCCAGCTCAGACATGGAGGATCCAGCAGGAGCTGAGCATTTAGACAAAGAGCTCAGACAGCTGCCAGCTTCAAAGGACCCAGGAGCCAGCAGAGAGAGCCTGGCAGTGCTCACTGCCCGATTTCCAAGTGAAAGGGAATATATAATGAGAGGAAATCCTCCTGTCTCACCTTCCCTCACCTCCTGCCACCTCTGGCTGGCTGCTGCCAGCTCCCACAACTGCCTGTCCCTGCCATGTCCGCCAGAGCCTGGCATGGGAGTGCAGCCCTGGGACGTGCTGTGGGTCCCAAAGCAAACAGGGCATAAACCAGCTTCATTTTATCTTGTTGCTGCTTCCTAATGCTGTCCCAGAGCTGGTGACCTGTCCCTTGTTGCTGACAGGCTGTTTTGGAGAGCAGTGGGTGCTGGCCCTATGCCCCTCAGGTGGGTACTCACAGCACCAGGGAGCAGCTTGGCCAAGAGATGCTCCAAAGGAGAGGAGCTGCATCTCTGCCCCCATGGGCCCTGCAGCAGTGGGTCCAGCTGTCCCCTGCCACTCTGGGGAGGGTGGCTGCTGTGTGGGCTGGCCTGCAGGTGCAGGCAGGGTGTGCAAGGACAGGACAGAGAGGTGCTCAGGCCTGAAGGGTAAAACAGAGACCAAGATGGGCTGTGCCAGCAGGTGCTCAGTCGCTCTGTAGTCCCCCCTCCACCCCATCACCCTGCAGGACGGGTGATGGGCATTGTGCAAAGGCTCCAGGAGCTGGTTCCTGTGCCAGGCCAGATGTGCCCTCCAGGGTCTGATGCTCTCGAGGTCTCTCTGGATGGAGAACTCGTGGGAGGGAAATGACACTGAGGCCGGGGCTGGCCACGTCTCCTTGGATTACTGTGATGGGCTGTGCACCACCCACGGTTCCCACAGCAGGGAAGGAAGTGAGGTTGGGCTGGACACCTATGGAAAAACAAGCACTGAGATCTCCAACCCCAGTGTGTCTCCGGACCTGTACCCATTAGGGCACAGCTTCATGTCCAGTCCAGGGAATGGGGATGGCTCATCACAGAGGCAGCCATGCTCTAGGGCATGGAGAAGACCTCTCCCTAGTTGTCCCTAGGGCATTCCCAACTCTTTGCTAGTCCTGTTCTCAGCTTCCTGACACAATGAGAATGTCAAAAGGAGGGGCTGAGCCTCAGCCAGGTGCAGTGGGTCCAGGAGGGGATGCCACTGGCCCTGCCAAGCTGTTTGTTCGTGGTGTAGGGGGGGGCTGCAGAGGTTCCCTCCCAGCCCTGGGATTTCCTCTGGGAGCGCCCAGCCCTGCTGTCCAGGCAGTACCATCCTGCACCCCGCCACAGCCCAACACTGACATCTTGTGGTGCTGGGAGAAGGCCCCAGCCCTCCGGTGGGAAGGGAAACCCTCTGAGATACCTGCAGGAAGCTGTGTCCCCAGGGAAGCCCTGGGACTGCTGCTGGAGAGGCAGCAGAAGTGGGCTCAGGGATCCTGGGCTGGACCTGCCCACTGTCCCCGTGACGGGTGCGTGTCCTCCCCTCCAGTGTGCGGCTGCGACCTGGCACAGTCGGGCTTCTTCTTTAAGAACCAGGAGTACATCTGCACCCACGACTACCAGCAGCTCTACGGGACCCGCTGCGACAGCTGTGGGGACTTCATCACTGGAGAGGTCATCTCTGCCCTGGGGAGGACCTACCACCCCAAGTGCTTTGTCTGCAGCACCTGCAGGTGAGTGGAAATCATCACCAAGCGTTCATGATCCCCTGGAGAAACCTTGAGCAGCTCTTGGCTGTGCACCAGACAGAGGGGTCTTCATTAGCCTGCAGCCCCTTGTGCCCCGTTCAGCATCACAGCAGGCACTTCCTCTGTGTTCTCTAAGTGGAAACCCTTGGGAGGCAATGAAATGGTTCCAGCCGTTCCCTTTGCAGCCTGGAGACCTCCCTTGGTCCTCCCACCCCAGCACATGTGCACCCTCGCTGCTTCCCCTCGTAGCCCTTGCCTGGAAGCCCCTCTGCTCCCTGGCACCGAGGGTCCCGCTGGCCCCTGGGGTGGGAGCTCCCGGGTAGCCCCAAGCACTGCATGCAGGGGAATGAGCAGCTCACACCTCCCCCCCTCTCCTTGGCCACAGGAAGCCCTTCCCCATCGGAGACAAGGTCACATTCAGCGGGAAGGACTGCGTCTGCCAAAACTGCTCCCACTCTCTCATCAGCACCAAACCCATCAAGATCCACGGGCCGAGCCGTAAGTTGACTGCTCTCCTGTTACGTGATGGCTACAAGGAGCAGGACCTCATGCCTGTGGACGATGCTTGGGGAGGGTGACAAAACAGGCTTAGGGGCCACGGGTGTTCACAGAGGTTTCGGAGGAGGAGGAACAGGGTAGTCCTGTGGCTCCACCCAGGATTGCAGGTCACTGCTGGTTTCGGAAACTCCCTTGGCCTGTTTGTGACCTGGGCAGGTGCCGCCACCCTGGCGGGTGCTGTCTGAGGTCATGGAGAGGTTTTGGAGCTGAGTTTGCTCTGAGTCAGTTGCTTTGTGCTCAGCTGCACCAAGATCTGTGTCCAAGTGCAGACCCTGGGACTACTCACCCGTGTGTCCTAGCACTGGCATTCCTTGCTGCCTCTACAAGTACTGAAAGGCTTTTTACACTCATCCCCTTGCTGTGATGATCCCCTGCTAAAACTCAGCTGCAGCAATGGACAAGCTCTTTTGGGTGGATTTGGCCTTGCTTTTGACCTCAGATTGGGATTACCTTCCCTTCATGCCATGCTTGGCAAGCCCTGGAGATCAGTGCCTGAAGCAGAGTCCTGCAGCCAGGGCCAGAACCAGGACTGTGGTCACTCTGTCACCATGGCGGCACTGCTGGTGGCTGCGTGGGTTGACTTACAAGTTGGTGCCCCTGGGAGCCCCCCCCTCAAGCTGCCTCCCCCCAGTTCTCACCATGGCCTTGATGGAATTAAGAGATGTGGCAGGGTTCAAATGAGCCTCAGCCAGAGGACAGGGATTCCTCCACCTTCCTCCATCGCACCCTGAGCTGCCCAGAGCCAGGCTGTGCCTGACCCACAGCAGCCACTGTCTCCTGTAGCAGTGCCAGGGGAAGGGCAGCCACATGCTCTGCCTCTCGCCTTCCTCTCCCTTCCCATCCCATCCCCTTCCCACCAGTGCTCCTCCCTTCCGGGGTTACCTGAGGGCACCATGCTTTATTCATGGACAGCTGCAGGCAGATGTAGCCTGCCTACTGCATGTGTCACTCACAGCCCCAGTCGCCCTGGCAGTGCCACCCAGAAGGGTGGCAGGGGAGGTGTGTGGGCTGGAGCCCATGCTGGTGCACTCTGCAGGGATGGCATCCCTAGGAGGAGGATGTTGAGCCTCTCTCTGCAGCTCCAATCCTGTGAGCAACTCCAAACCAGAGAGAGGAAATGGATCCTGGCTCAACTTGCTTTTTTCTAGGGGTCACAAATCCTCCCCCCTTAGCTTTGTCCAGTGGGCGGGGACTTGGCACAGAGTAGCTTGGGATGGGCTGAGTGGAACAGCCTGTCTGCTCCCGCTGTGCAGTGCCATGGCAGGGAGGGGGTTAAGGAGAAATCCCATCCGGGCAGACCTGCTGCCCAGGGGGAGAAGAGGACAAGGAAGAGTCAAGGTCAGGCGTCCGAGGCCCATGTGCTTCCTGCTCCCAGCCTTGATGGGAGCCAGGGGAAGCAGGGAAGGAAGGGAGTCTCGTAAATACTGCAGCGGGGCCGGACGTGGCTGCCGGAGAGCACAGCCCTTCCTCTGCTGTGCTCGTTGCCGGACACTTCCTACTGCTCCTGCCTTGAGGCAGCCCTGGGGACCTGCCAGGACAGCATAGCCCCTGGCCCTGGCTCAAACTTGTCACCCAGCAGGGAGACCCAGCTCTGTGCTGTGGCGGGTGCGTGGCTGGGTGCCAGCAGTACCGCAGAGGTGCCAGCTCCAGCCTTCCTCCTGGTTCATATGCTGGGAACAAGCAGACGTGGTGTATTTCCATAAAGAAATGATCCCCAAGAGGCTACCCCTGGAGTGGTCTCAGGAGCTGGGTGTTTATAACAGCATCATCACTAGTGAAGTCCTCGGGGGCAGAGTTTTCCTCTGGGTGTGAGGGGTCTGCCAGGTTGGATGACTGGGGTGCCTCGGTGTGGGCCAGCAGATTTGGGTGTTCCTGCTGTGTCCCACACTCCCCCCCTCTTCTGTGCCCCCAGACTGTGCTGGCTGTAAGGAGGAGATCAAGCAAGGCCAGTCCCTCCTGGCCCTGGAGAAGCAGTGGCACGTCAGCTGCTTCAAGTGCCAAACGTGTGGGATCATCCTCACTGGCGAGTACATCAGCAAGTGAGTGCCACCTTCCTGGCAGCACTGCCAGGCTCTGCCCCGAGGGGCTGGGGCTGCAGCAAGGGACTGTCCACTCACCCGCTGCTAACCCCTTCTCCTCCCTCTCCCACAGGGATGGCATCCCATACTGTGAGTCTGACTACCATGCCCAGTTCGGCATCAAGTGCGAGACCTGTGACCGGTACATCAGTGGCCGGGTCCTGGAGGTGAGTTCTGGGGCCACAGCCACCCCATCCCGGTCTGTAATAGGGACATGCCTTGGGGAGGTGTGGGAGTTACCTAATCCTGCCCCCCTGTCATGCTACCCTCCATCTCTGGGGGCCATGGCTCTTCCTGCAGCAGGTGTGTGGACACACCTTCTCTGGAGAATGGGAGTGGGGAAGGAGCACCAGAGCTTAAGAGAGGTGGCTTGGATGCCTGAGCTCTGGAAACAGCCAGAGTGGCTTGGATGTGGTGAGACGTGTCTGGAGTCCAAGATGTGGGGACATTAGCCTTAAGCAGCTGCTGCCATGCCTGGCTCTGGATGTCCCCAGCACACTCACCCCAGCCTACCTTCTGAGCCCATCCATGTGCCGGCAGCCTGCCTGTTGCCTTGGAAACATATCCAGCACGGCTGCCCGCTGCAGAGCCTGGGTGAGGGGCTGCAGCACCCTACCCATGGGCAGCAGTCCCCATGGCACACTCCTTTGCAGGCCAGCAATTGGAGCAGGGGGTCTCCTTCAGTGGTCCAAATCAGAGGGGACTTTGCTCATTGCATTGCTGGACAGTAGGAGCTGCTCTGGCAGAGCCACGGAGAGATGCAGGGATTCCACAGGGATCCCACAGCAAGGCGGCTGTGGAGTGTGTTTTGGGTGATGATGGGGCTGTACAGCCGGTGAGGGGAGTAAGGGTTGCTGTGGGGGAGGGACAGAGAGGTCCATCAGGGCTGGTCCTTTCTGGCAGCCAGGTGGTCACCTTCTGCCTGTGGCTCCTGCTCCTGGAAGTGGCATGTCCTGTCATGCTTTCTGTTTATACTGCAATGTATGCAGGGGGGAAAGAAATCCAGTCTGAGGGTAACCCAAAGGCTCAGGAGGCACAGAGAAAGATGTCAGAAGGATAACACTATGGAGCTGGGCTGTGGTGACACAGAGGCAGCAGTGCTGAAAGCATTCTCAGTTACTCCTGCAACCTCCCCTTCTGCAAAGCTGAGCGGGAGGGAAGGGCTCCCATATCTCTGTCATCCCCAGATTGCAGGAGTAGGAAGCTGTATCCCAAAATCAGAGGTACCGTGACTCCACTATGAGGCCACAGGTGCTGTGGGCTGGGTGACTGACTGTGTTGGTCTCCAACCTGCTGAGGGTTGTTCCAGGACATCTCCAGCCTGTTTCACTCACAGTCTACCAAGAAACCATCACCCTCTCTGGTCCTGGGAACACCCAGCCTTCCAAGGAACCTCTCTGAAGCTGGAGCCAGTTGCCAGGAACCTTTCAGCATCTTCCCCCTCTCTGGGGGGCTGCCTCTGCCTGGGAAGGCTTTCTGCTGACTCCAGGCTTCAGCAGCAGTCCCAGCACTGGCTGCTGGGAGCATGAGCTCAGCACTGCAGCAGCTGCCAGGGGCCGGGTGCCCATCACGGGGTCACTTCATCAGCAAATGTCTGAATGGAGCAGGGCAAAGCCAGAGGCTCCCCAGACATCAAATCCCTGCTGCTGCTCCCCTGGGAAGTCTGGTCCCTGATAGCCCTGTGCCGGGACAGAGCACCCTCAGCCACCCAGAAGTGTGAGCAGGGAGGGTGTTATGTGTTCAGCGTGTGAGGGTAGTGAGAGGAGTCAGAGGGGACCTGAGACCCCTGTCATAGAATCATAGAATGGTTTGGGTTGGAAGGGACCTTAAAGATCATCTCGTTCCAACCCCCTGCCGTGGGCAGGGGCACCTTCCACTAGGCCTGGTTGCTCCAACCCCTGTCCAACCTGACCTTGAACTCTTCCAGGGTTAGGGCATCTGTTCCAGGTTCAGGAGCCTTGCAGCCCACTCTCCCTACCCTCCCTAGTATGTGCTTGCTCACAGTATTGAATCATCTATAAATCCAGAGGCTTTAATTGTCTTTTCTGTCAGAGTGTGAAATGGAAAGGGTGCCTTTAAATAATTTTAGGCATTAAGGAGGCTCCTCATGCTATCCCAGCAGCCTTCAGGCATTCCCAACTGCTCCAAGCTGTGCAGCCAGGCTTGGATGATTAATGAGTCTTTAAGGGACCCAAGTGATAACAAGCAGTTATCCCTTGCAGCCTCTACCAGCCTTGTACAAGCTGTAGCATTAAACAATGCAAAAGGAACAAGGTTTGTGCATGGTTTGGAGGGTTGCTGCTCAGGAGGAGTGCGGGTGTTGAGATGTTGGGTGGCTTTTGGAGAGATTTATGATGAAAAGCAATTTGGGACTGGGCTGGTACACACCACAGGGGAGCAGCCAGTCTCCCTCCACATGACATCTTAGAATCATAGAATGGTTTATGTTGGAAAAGACTTTAAAGCTCATCTCATTCCAACACTCTGCCATGGGCAGGGACACCTTCCAGTAGACCCATCCAACCTGGCCTTGAACACCCACATCCTGATCTGCAAAGCATCCCCTTTTAGCACAATCTGACCTGTGAGAGCAGATAGGAAAAGGTGGATATATATGGGGTTTTTTTTCCTTACTGTCAGCACAGCAAGCTGTTGAGGGTACTGATAGAGTCCAAGAGCACTAAACCCTTCCCAGATTCAGAGAGGGATGGGGGAAGGAGGAAAGGAAGAGGAGTCCAAACTCATTTCCCCTGCCTGCACTGAAACCTTCCACTCATTTTTGTTATAAACTGGAGGGGGAAGGCCACTGGCTGCCATTTGCACCCCAAGGACACTGAATTCCAGGCTGATTTCTATGGGCAACCCATGAGCAGGTTCTCAGTTATCCTCACAGCAGATTTCCCTGTTGATTCTCCCTGTTTCAAACTGGCTCCAGCCCCCTCTATCATAACCCCCCTTCTTTGTCTGTGAGAGCCTCATCTTCCCTCTGCCACCTTCAATTCTTTTTCTTCTTCTCTTGGATTATTATGGGAGTAAAAAGTTCTTTTCTGGGCTCCCAGCCCAGAAAGCGAACCTATAATTGAAATGCTAGGAGACACTTTGAGGGGGAGCAAGCTCCCAATTTAAGCTGTTATCCCTGTCAAAGAGCGAAAGGAGCAGCCTAGCTTCCTCTCAGCTGGGGAAGAGCATGTCACTAGCACTGAAGTTTGGGCATCGCTCCACCGAAGGAGAAAAGTGTCTTTAGGGAGGAGCTGGCAGTGGTAGCCAGGGATGGTCTGGCAGCAAGAAGAAACCTTTGCTTTGCGAGGTTTATCTTTGGGGTCCTTCTTCTCCCTTTACTGCTTCCCTGTTGTGACATCCTGGGCCAAATTTGCTGGTTTTTTTCAAAGCTGTAGAGGAGGAGCTGGTGCAAAGCATGGCTGCTTAGCTGAGTGCTGCTGCAGAGGGCCTTGGCTATTTGCAGAGTGCAGGGATGATTGATTAGGGTTTGTAGGGTACCTTCTCTGGGGGTTTGGGATCTCCTGGTTCTGTTTTCCTGTGTGTTGGAAATCTCAAGGAGATCAGAAAATTCACAGTCTGACTTGTAGTCCAGCAGGTCAGAAACACACTCGTGATGAAGAGGTCTCTGGTTTTCTCCATGTTGATGTGAAGGTCTCCGAGGCCAATGCGGGCAGTTTTGTCCCATTCACCTTGTCATTGTCTGCAGCAGCGAGGGTTGTCAGGGTCACTCGCCCTCAGGGACATGAGCAGGTCCTGCCTTGCTCAGGGGTCCCTGTTCTCTGCTCACCCCTGCAGGCAGGAGGGAAGCACTACCATCCCACCTGTGCCAGATGTGTCCGCTGCCACCAGATGTTCACAGAAGGAGAGGAGATGTACCTCACAGGTAGGGGTGAGGAGGGACCCCTGGCCCTGTGTTGGGGTGTGGACCAGAATGGCTGTGTGTGGGTGTCCTGGCTGGGGGGACTTTGGGGTTTGGGTCACTATGGCACTGAAAGGGCCTCTTTGTGCAGCAATACCCCCCTCCACTGCTCCCCAGCACCTGCACTCTTCCTGGTTAGGGTGGCAATCATTTCTCTCCGTGAAACCTTCCCTGCCACTGAGCTGGAGGAGACTGTTCCTCATCGGAAGATTTTTTTTCCCTGCGAGTCTCCCTGCACAGCTGGGGAGCACTGCTGGGCATGCCTGGATGCGTCCCTGGCCTTCTCCCAGTGAACAGAGCCTGGGATGGGCGCAGGGTGCTTGTCTCCCTGCTCTCCCCAGCCCCAGGGGAGGGTGGTCCATCCCCAGCTCCCCCAGTCCAGGTTAGCTGGCAAGCAGCACTGGAGGGGTAAGGCTTTCACTCAGCACAGATGGATGGTTTGGGTTTGGTTTTGGCAGGAGCTTATGCCCTTAGACCTGTTTTAGGGGCTGTTTCCAGCACAGAGGGAGGGTTTCTTTTCTCTCAGTAACCCCTGCTTGCCTGTCACAGTTTAGTAGGTTTGGCCACTGCTCCTCAGGGCTTGGGAGCTGTTTCATTCCTTAGTACAGACAAACAGTCCCCAATGTCTTGAGTCTTCCCACCAGGCATGTTCCTATGGCACTGCTGGAGATGGCAGGGACAGGATGGGATTCTCCCATGGCAGGGGAACCGGGATGATCCCTGGCAGTGGGGGTGAGCTGTGTGTGGAGCTGAAACACTTTCCCTTTGCTGCGTTGCAGGCTCTGAAGTGTGGCACCCGATCTGCAAGCAGGCGGCCAGAGCAGAGAAGAAGCTGAAGGTAGGCAGCAGGGTGAGGGGCATCTTAAGAGGTGGCACATCCCAGGGGATGCCCCCAGGTCCCTCTGCAGGAGGGGAACTGTTGTGGCAGGGTCTAAGCTTGGAGTGGCTTCCCGAGGCTGCCCAGAGGATGATGGGTGGCTATTAATGGACACCTGGTGGTGGCTGTTAATGGACACCTGCCTGGGGAGGGGGCACAGCAGTCCCCTCACAGTGCCCTCACTCCTCTCTGCACCTGACTGGCCATGGGAACAGTTGTCAGCGGGGTCTTGCCAGGCCACTCCAGATCTGTCCCTGAGAGCTGGATGCAGGGCAGCCTGAACAGCCATGGGCACGGGCAGGCAGCAAGTGAAAGTGCAGAGAAACTGGACCTTCAGTGAAATTTTGCCCCCAAACCAACTATTTGGCTTCTGTACCCAGCATGGCCTGCTCAGGGGTCCCTCCTTGCCACGCTCTCACCTGCCTTCCACCTTTCTGCCTCCACAGCACAGAAGGACGTCGGAAACCTCCATCTCCCCTCCTGGTTCCAGCATTGGCTCCCCGAACCGTGTCATCTGTGTAAGTACAGCTCTGCCCCTCATCCAGGGCCCCAAGGAGGGGATCAGCAGTTTCCAGAGCTGCTCTTCAGTGTGAGGTCCCCCAGGGACAAGCCCAGCATTTGGGGACAGCATTGACAAGCCGTGTCCCCTTGCCCCAGTGCCGTGCTGTGCCACCAGTGCAATTGGCACGGATCAGGAGCACTCAGAGGGGCACAGTCCTACCCTCCCAGCTCCTATGCCCCTACGCACTGCTGCCTCTCAGGCATCTCCTCTTACCTCTTCTGCTGCTGGGGTGACGGTGGGCTCTGCCTGCTCCACACTGTGCGTTCCAGCCTTCCCTTCCTTCTCTCCTCCTCTTCCTTTCTGTCTCTCTGTCTCTGTCTCTCCCTCTCCCTAGGCTAAAGTGGATAATGAGATCCTTAATTACAAAGACCTGGCAGCTCTTCCCAAGATTAAAGCCATCTATGAAGTGCAGCGTCCTGACCTCATTTCCTACGAGCCCTATCACAGATACACGTCGGATGAGACACTGGAGAGATATAGCTATGGGGAGGTACTGAGTGTTGATATGCCCAGTGCTGGGATGCACAGGGACCAGGCCCCAGTTTGGGGGAGAATTGTGTGTGGGTTCGCTCACTCCAGTGGGAATACTGCAGGGAGGCAGGAGTGGGGATAGGATCTCTCCCGGAGGCTCATCGCCACCAGGAAGAGGGCCTGGGCTGAAAATAAAGTGTTGATGCTGCTGCTGTAGAGTAAGAAAGAAACCAGTGACCTTACCAGTCACCAGTGACCTTACCAGTCACAGACCCGACTGCAGGGATAGCACTGCGTGGGAGGAGTGATGTGGCAGGGGAGGAGCCCATCACAGCCCACAGCGGGGGAGGAGGAGGTCACACAGCAGCACATGTGCATCCCTCCAGGGTGGAGGGACAGAGGATCCCCAGGCTCAGCCCAGAGCCTGGCCCCTGGCACACAATCCTCCTGGCCACCCAGCACAGCACAGCACCCCTGGAGCATGGCAGGGCTGCCCTGTTTGGTGCCAGCCCTGCAGGCAGGAGAAGGGGCTTGGTCAGTGCGTTTCCACAAGACTGTGATGAGATGATGTCCCAGCAGCATGTGGCATGGGACTGTCCTGCCTGCCCAGGCAGGCTGGGACTGCTGGATGAGTTCAGTAAGTCCACGGAAGAGAAGGTCTGAGCAGCTCACACAGAGATGGGGCACCTGAGGTAGTCTTGGAAGGGGACTTGATGATGGCCAGCAGGAGGAGCATCTCTTACATCAGCAGCCCCAAGGTTTTGCCCAAAGCCTGGCTTCCTCCAGCCCCCCTAGGCTTGGTGCAGGCAGCATGGCCATGGCCCACTGTGGAGCACCCAGGAGCCAACAGCTGCCTTCTCCCCTCGCAGCTGCTCCACTGAGGTTTCTGAGAAGGGGTGCAGTCTGCTGGTTCCTCATGCTAGTTCCCCTCTTGGCCAGGGGCTTCCTGCCCAGTGTCCTGTACCACCAACCACCCTAAATGCCTGGCAGCTGTAACTTGGAGAAAATCAGCTGCTGTGGAATCCTGGTCTGTCACTGCTCCTCTTAACCATGTGCTGTCTCTCTCTCTCTTTTCCTCCCCACTTTGCCTCCTGCTGCCTCCAGTCCCTGGGGACCCTCTCCCCATACTCGCAGGTAATGCCCCTGCGGGCACTGGGAGGTCTGTCACCTACTGCTGCTGCAGGATGTCCCTCTGCCCAGGACAGCTGGGGCTCTGCTGATCATCCCCCCCACAGCTGTTGGCTGCCCCAGGGTGGGACCCCTGTCCAGGACCCCTGTCCTGTCCTTCAGGCCCTGAGGAGAACAGGGTGCAATCCCTCCCTGGCAGAATGGACCCAGGGTGCAGAACCAAGCACAGGGCAAGGAGACAATCTCCAGGGAAAGAGCCTCTGGCTGGACATGTCACCTGGTCTCAACTCTGGGCTTTGCTGCCTGTGCTTTGGCAGCAGGGGAGGCAGAGCAGGGTGGGGACCCCCTCTAGCCAGGACATGCACTGCCCATAGTGTCACACTGCAGAGCACCCTCCCGGGCTGCCCCAGGCACAGGGATCCCTATCCATGGGACACCTCCTGCTAGCTCTAACACCACTCTCTCCACACCTTCCCCATCCCCAGGACATCTATGAGAGCTTTGACACGCGGCAGAGGCGAGCCTCCAGCCCTGGCTACATCGACTCCCCCACCTACAGCCGCCAGGGCATGTCCCCCACCATCCCCAGGTCCCCCCACCATTTCTACCGCTCAGGTGAGGATTTCAGCTGCAACCCCAGGCTGAGCTAAGCTCAGACCCCCAGGTGGAGTGGGGATCACCAAAATGCCACTGAGACTTCTGTGGTCTCTCCTCTGGCAAGCAGGAGGCCTGGGGGGGGGCGTCCACCAGGGAGGCAGTGATCAACTCTGATCTGTGCATCCTCTGGTTCCCCCGACTCTTGTCTTGTGAGCAGCAAGGAAAGGCTGAGAAGGCTTTGTGGCTCAGACCTGAGCTGGGGCTCATGCAGGATGGGGTGGGGAGGCAGGTGACCTCCAGATCCGGTGAAGAGCCCCTCAGCTGTCTTGGTAGCTCTGGGATGGGTGTGCACGAGTGTGCTTGTGCCCAGCCAGTGCTGTAAGGGAGGTCCTTACACGTGCACACGTGCATGCACGCACACCCCGGAGCATGTCGGGGGGAAGCAGAGTGTGTCTGTGCCATGTCTCCTGTCCTTCGGAGCTGGGAAGGAATGACCTGGAAAACCTGAGGTCAGTAAGTCCAGAGGTCCTGCAAACCCCAGCGCTTCACCGCCAAGGGTCCGTCACCGTTTGTCTCTGCAGCACGCTCGGCTTTCCTGTCACCAGCAGTGGGGCAGCTGGCTGTCCTGTACCAGCACCTGCACATGGGGTTTCCTCTGCATCCCATCTTCCTCCGGAGATGCGGGAAATCTCCCCCTGCTCCATCACTCCCTATCCTGGATCACGGCCCGGCTCACATCCCTGTGGGTTGCCCACAACCACATGGGTTGCCCCTGCTCTTCTAACACTGCTGCATTTAACACCCATTTTCTTCTGCCTCTTGTTCTCTCTCTCGGTCACTTATGGCTGCTTCTGCTCGGCACCGCGTAGGCACCGAGAGTGGGCGCAGCTCCCCCTACTATAGCCAGTTAGATGTGAGGTCCTCCACTCCAACCTCATACCAAGCACCCAAGCATTTCCACATCCCAGGTAGGCTCTGGAGCACCCCGGTCCCTGGGGAAGCGCCGTGTCTGTGGCATGCCCGCATGTGCCGTCCCCGCTGTGTCGCATGCGTAGCTCCGCCGCCTGCCTAGAGCCAGCTGGCAGCAGGATCTACCCCTGTTAGAGGCCATCCATAAACAGGACCTGCAGCTTGAACCCTCCTCCCTCCCCATCACCACCCGGAGGTCCCAGAGCCGCCTGGAGTCTGCTTGATCCTTGCAACATCCCTCTTCTCCCTCTTCCCTGACCTTCCTCCACTCCCCACACGAAGATGAGTCCCCTGGTGAGAGCCTGCCCCCTCCCTTGCCTCCCCCCAGGATCACCAGCCGAAGCGTGTCTGCCGGAGGCATTTCCGCACCCACCCGCTACAGATGACTATTTTATACTCCCCCTAGGGCCCGCTGCTCCCTCCCCCCAGATCTTCTGGGCTTGCCAGATGCCTGCTCCCCTTCTGCAGGGATTGCAGGGGGCCACCAGGTAAGGGCCACCACCCGCTCCCAGCCATGCAGAGTCCACGGGAACGGGGACGGAGCGGGCAGAAACGGAGAGTGGGGTGGGAAGCAGGCAGAGCTGCTTGTCATCCTTCAGCACATGCAGGGGGGTCAGAACCCCAGACAACCCCAGTCAGCTGTAAGCATCTCCCACTGCCCTTGTCCTCCTTCAAAGCATGGGACTCTCCACAGTGCGTAGCTGATGCCCTGGGACAGCACCATGAGGACACCCAGAGGCTCCCCACCATGTCCCCAGCTCCCATCCCATCCCTGCCAGGGTTTGGCCCCGCTGCCCGCCCTGCCCTGCCCTCCCGCTGCCGGTCAGTGGTTTATGGATGGCCCCCTCCCTGCTCCGCCAGCTCTGCTGCCTGGCCCCTGCGCGGGGGCTGCAGCTCTCGGCGCCAGGCTCCAGTTCGCTTTCCCTCCCAACTCGCTCTTTTCTCTCTCTGCTGCGGAAAGAGGCTTTGGCTGATGTTGTCTCACCCCAGGTAGCTCACAGGCGGTTCTTCTAGGTGCTGGCACCCCGAGAAACCGCCGCAGGGTGAGCGGTGATGCCTCGCTGCCGGCTGGCAGGGGCGGCCGGCGGCTCTGGCTGTGCCCGCCGCACCCGTGCATGCTGACGCTGGGTGCTCACTGCATGGCCTCTGCTCACCACTGCCCGCAGGCAGCCCGGGACCGCCCTCCTGCTGCCCGGGACCGCGCTCCTGCTGCCCGGCACGCCGGCCTGGAGCTGCGCTCCCTTGGGACACGTGGGCCCGGAGGCGGTTGTGTGATGGAAATGTGGTTGTGGGGGTAGTATCTCCTGCAGGACCTCTGTCCTGCCCACTCTCGGCACGCCCACACTGACCTCTCCTTTCCCCTTCTTCCCTTCTTTCTTCCTTTTCTTTCTCTCTTCTTCCACCAGCTGCCGGCGAGAGTAACATCTACCGGAAGCCCCCCATCTACAAGCGCCATGGTACGATCTGCCTGCTGTGTGTCCATCCCCATGTCCCCGTGGGGACAGGACCAGCATGGGGCTCAGTCCAGCTGAGTCATGTCCAGGGGCAGGGTGGGAGGTGAGGGCAGGCGTCAGGACAAGATGTTTGGGCGCTGGACTTTGGTGGTCTGATGTTCCTGCCTCCCCTCTGGGCAGCAGAGTGCAAGGTTCAGTGGGAGAAAGATGCTGCTTTGGACCACATCCCTGCTATGAGGGATGGAGGAGAAAGCTGTCAGCAACACCAGGGTAGCTGTGGGAGGGTGAACAAGGCAATGATGGGGTGGCAGAAGGTTCAAGAGTGGCCGTTGATTTCTGAGGCCGGGAGCCAGAGCAGCCTCAGAAAAGTGATGAAGAAGGTAATTTGTAGTTTCACATGGAGCCCTGGAGAAAAGTCACAGCCCATCCTGGATAGATGCTCCAGGGTGAAACAGGCCTGGGAGGTGTTGCAGGGTGGGGAGGGTGTTTGGTGTCTCTCAGTGGGGATGGATTGCACTGTCCCCACTTGCTTCTGCACATAGAGGGACACCAGCTCCCCCCAGCAGTAACTGTGTTTCCTCTCTCTCCCTGGACTTTCCCTTCCCTCCTGCCCAACTCCCACTGCCCCGCTGCTGGCTGCTCCTCCTGCTGTAAGTACCTGCTGTTGGCTGGGTCCCCTGTGCCTGCTGGAGGTGGTGGGATGGCCCTGCTACACCTCCTGTCCTTGATGTTCCTTCCCCTGCGAGTCTCCCAGCCTCTGGTGCAGCAGAACTCCCCTCTGGGTTTCTCACCTATGCTGCTGAGGCTCAGTCTGTGTGTGTCCCTGCCACAGGGGCCAAGCCCCTGCCAGAGCCCCTCTGCTCCCTCCCTCCTGCACAGCCCACTGCCACCTTCCCCTGGCAGTAACCCGAAGAGCCCTTTCCCTGCTGGGACTGAGCTTTCCTCCATCCCCTCTCTCACTTACAGGTGACAGGAGAGCACAGGGAGGTTGGTGGCACTGGTGGGACTGGGATTGGGGTGAGCACTATGCAGGAGCCAGTGCTTGTGGTGCTGTGGGCTCTCAGCTATTTGTGTCCCTTCCCAGACGCATCAGCGACAGCCCCTCTGCTTGTCACTGTCCCCACCATCTGCCTCAGCACCCTTGTCTCGAGGAGATGTCAGCAGTTTGATTATTCCCAGCTCTGCTACAGGCTGTCCCAGCCATGAGTCGCTGGCAGTCTGGGGGGGGGAGAGGATTTGCCTTCATCCCTGAGTGGATCTTTGCAGGCCCTCACTGTAGTTCTACCTGCTCCTTTTGCAGACAACCCCTCTGCAGCCACAAAAAGCAAAACCAGTGAAGACATCGCGCAGTCATCCAAGTACAGCCCTGCCTACTCCCCGGATCCGTACTACCACTCCGAGTCAGAGTACTGGCCCTTCCAAGGCTCGCCAAAAGGTAATAAATGCCTGCTGGACTATGAGAAAGGGAAACCCGTTCCTGCCCCCAAACCCAGCCACTTCCTAGGAGGGAACCTTGCTCTGAGTTGTGTCTGGACCCGAAGGTGGTGTTGGGCTGAAGTACCTGCCAAAGTGACCCTAAAATCCTGGGAGCCCCTGGGACTCAACTGTCCCCATGTGGTTGGGAATGTCTCCTCCCTACCTGCCTTCACTTTTGGCCCCATCTGACTCCCTCACATGTCTCCTTGCAGCACCCCGGGCCCGGAGGTTCTCGTCAGGTGGTGAGGAGGATGGGTACGACCGGGGCATGCACAAGGTGAGTGATGTCCCTGCCCACAGCCCAGTGACGGAGAGCTGACAGCAAACCACCCCTGGTTGGCTTTGGGGAGGAGGCTCAGCCTAGCTCTTCCACCCAAGAAGGGGCCACCACTGTCCCTGCTGTCCTGTGCCATCTCTCCCCACCTTGGCCACCCCCAGCACAGGGTCTGAAGGAGGGGGAGCAGATGGGAGATGCTGAGCCCATGCCAGGAGATGCCATGCCCTGTCATGATGTGCCAGTGGGCATGGAGGGCTGGGCAGGGAAAGGAGGGGTGCGAGGTGTCTTTCCCTCCTCTGTCCAGATCCAGAGTGGCATTGGCAGGCTGATCCTGAGGGAGGAGATGAAGGCTCGGTCCAACTCCTACGCAGACCCCTGGACACCCCCTCGCAGCTCGGCCAGCAGCAGAGAAGCCCTGCACACAACTGGCTATGAGGGCTCCCTTAATGGCTGTAAGGATGATCCTGTCTGTCTGTCTGTCCCACCCAGTATGGCCCAGCCCCTCTGGGAAGTTTGCTGGGGTGGAGAGGGAAGAACGAGACTAGGAAGGGGAGGGGAGAGGAGAGGTGCTGGGCACAGAGTTGGCCTAGGAAAGCTCTTTTCGTTTCTGGAGAGCTCCATTCTTTCCCTGTGTCCCAGCTGGGAAGGGGCATCACCCAGTGGGTGTCCAGGCAACCTGGTGAAGTGCCTTGTGGGGTGGCTGAAGGGTCCCTTGAGAATCTGGCATTGCAGCCACGCTGGGATTGCTCTGACCTGTTTGGGCTGGCTGCACGTGTGCTTCACTAATGGCACCTCTGGGACCTCCTGGCACCCCAGACCTGCTGAGCAGCCTCAGGGCTGCCTTGCTTGCACTGCTCTTACCACACAGCACCCAGGGCACCCATCTCCTCTGTCCCTGGGGCTATGATGGGGCTGGGGGTGCTTGAGAACCTGGCAACACAGATGGCCCTGCCTGCTCCATGGTCTCCATCTTCATGGCACGTCTGCCCTCATGGAGCTGGGACTGTTTGGAGGTGCTCAGGGAGCCCCTCAGCCCTGCGGGACTCCAGGGAGCCCCAAGGAGGACCCGTGGGGTTGGGAACAGGCAGCACTGCATGGCATGGGGTGCTTGGTCCTCCCTGACAACTGGCTCTGCTCTCCTTGCAGCTCCCAGAACCCACTACCTGGCCGACAGCGGTGAGTGTGTGACCCTACAGCCCTCCACAGCTGGTTCCCCATGGCTGGGGGGTCCGGAACCCAAGCTGGAGGAGGTGCTGGGACCAGGGATGGAAGAAGGGAAGCAAAAAAGGAGCCCTTGAAAGCCTGTGCAAGGGTAGAGCTGAACCAGGGCAGAGCTGATGGCAGCACTGGGAGAGGATAAGTCAGAGAAACTGAGAGAGGAGAATGTGTTGTGCTGAAGAGTGAAGAGGGAAGGCTGCCATGGGAAAGGGATTTTCAGGAGAGGAATATCAGCACAGGAGGAAGCCAGGCTGGAAATGAGTTGGAGCTGGAAGGAGACAGAGCTGGGTGACTGTGGAGCTGGGTAGTGACAGCTCTGTGGGAGCACAGAGGTAGGGTGGCCCAGTGGGTGCTGTCCTGGGATGTGAGGCTCATCCCTGCATTTTCTCTTACACATCTTGCTGGCTTCTTTGCAGATCCCCTCATTTCTAAGTCGGCCTCCCTTCCTGCCTACAGGAGGAATGGGCTGCACAGGGTAAGTGCCTCCTGCTCACATCCAGCTGCCGCCAGGCCTCTCTGTGCTGTTTGTCATTCTTCCCAGGCTCCTTAAAGCCCCCAGTGCTACCCTTCCAAGACTAGGGTGTCCTGCTTCTCCCTTCTCTGCATCTCTGCTGTCACTGCTGCCCTGTGCCAATCCAAAATGACCTTTACTGGGGTCCAAATTGCCTTGTTCAGGCAGTACCTGCCCTGAACTCTCCACAGGCATGTTTCAGAGAGATACTGGTGTTGCTTTCCAGCACAAGAGCTTTGCTTCGTATCCTGGGCTAGTGATTGCTTGGGACCAGGAGCTCTGGTCCTGCCTCTGTATGACTTGGGCTTGTCACTTCACCTCCTTCTGCCTCAGTTTCCCCCCTGCCAGGTGTGGGGAGCGGGTCCTGCTTTGGCATGGTGGGGTGCCTTCTCTCCTGGGAACATGGGAGATGCCATGCTGAGTGCCTGGAGGAGACCCCCTCTTACTCCTCCTCCCTCTGTTCCTCCCACAGCCTCCCAGCGCTGAGCTTTTCCACTACGACAGCACGAATGCCGTCAATTGGGGGATGCGAGGTAAGGGGCCACGGGGCCAGGGACCCTGTAGGCATTCCAGAGCCAAATCCTGTGGGGCTGCCACCTGCAGGCAGTTCTGGAAAATGAGGCTGGAGGGAGGATGGTGGGAAGATCCTGGCAGCGGAGGCGTCAGCAATGGCTCATGTCTCTCTTTTCTCTCTCCCCACAGAGTACAAGGTAAGATGCTTCTGCTGCAAGGCTTGGCTGTCAGCCAGAGGTGGGAGTCCCGGAGATGTGTCTATGTGTCCCCAGGCTCTTCAGGGGGAAGTTTTGCCCTCTTCCTGCAATGCCCTGCCTTCATCCCCCTCCATCCCCTACATGACAGCCCCGTCCCAGGACTGTGGGGCTCGGACCAGAGTCCATCCCCTCCTGCCAGGGTCCCAAGCACTCGGATGAGCAGAATTGTCTCCTGGGTGAGGAACAGAGAAAGGTGGTTGTGCTGTGATTTCCTACTCACACTTGTACCCGGGTCACTCCTGGTTTCGCAGAGTGAGCAGGCTATTCCAGAGCCACCAAAGGGATTTAAGGTGGATCAGGATCACCCTGAGAGCAAGTCCCTCCTATGCCTTGTCCCATCCAGTTGCTGGAGTCAGTTGTGCCACCCAAACACTGCTAGACATGGCAGGAGGAGGTTTTGCCTTGGTGGTCCCCATGGCCTCATTCCCAAGTGTGTCTCAGTTGTCTTCCTCTGGCTCCGGAGCTGCCTCATGGTCTTCCTGTCCCTGTGCAGATATACCCCTATGAGCTTCTCCTGGTGAAGACAAGGGGGAGGAACCAGCTGCCCAAAGATGTGGACAGGACTCGGTTAGAGGTGAGAAGAGCCTTTTCCACTGGGGACAATCTCCTCAGGGCACAGAGGGACCTTATCCCGTGGGGTGTCCCTTTAGCCCCAGCAAGCAGTGTGTGGCTGTGAGGGGATCATGGATGTGTAGAAGCATCTCTGTGTCTCCCCAGGAGCACTGTCACGGTGGTCCTGCTGCTCCACTGGCCGAGCAGAGCTGTTCCTCGTGCCCACAGCACGATTGTGTTTGGCAGGGGCAGGAGGGAGGCAGGTTCTCCCCCTCTCCAGAGTGAGAAGTGCTGAGAGTTGTGGCACCTCATTGCCCCAAGCGGGCAGGAGATGCCCTCAGAGCCCCTCCAGCCTGGGTGGTTGCTGTTGGCCCTGGGTGGTGGCCAGAGTCCCCAGCTCTGGCCCAGCATCCTGTCTCTCCCCAGCGGCACCTTTCCCAGGAGGAATTCTACCAGATCTTCGGCATGACCATTGCTGAGTTCGACCGCCTGGCCCTGTGGAAGAGGAATGAGCTGAAGAAGCAGGCCCGGCTGTTTTAAATGCAGTGCACTATAAATATATACATACCTATAAATATATACATAGAGAGATCTCTATATTGCAGCTCTACATGATTCTCGGTGCTGTATGGGGCAGAGGTGCCCTCTGCGCCCCTGAGAGTGAATTGGAGTCTTGCAGATCATTTTATGCTCTGTGTTTCCTTTACTTTTCCAACCTTGTTTCTGTATCAATCTGTGGGTTCTCCCGGGAGCTAAAGCCACATGGTTCCTGAAGCACTTGGCGTCTGTCACTGCTGCCCCACAGGCACATGATGGAGGGGGGGAGGATTTTCTTGCTGCAGCCACAGCACCCAGGGCTGGGGGAGAGCAGGGCTCTGGGATGGGTTTGGGATAGGGGTGTCCCATCCCCCTCTGCTCAGCTGCTCTGTGTATTTACTTATGGGTTGGAAAAGGCCCCAGGCACAATTGCAGGAAAGTGGGATCTCAGTAGGAGCTCCTTAAAGCCCTCCCTGCCTTTACATGCCATGACTGGGGGTACCCTCGGGATCAGAAATGCAGAGCTTGGGGCATGGGACAGAGAAGTGTTGAGGACTCCATGGGGAGCTGGGTGCACCCCCATGTCCAAGGTGAGAGCCTGAGCTCCGATGCCTCCAGGGCTGTTGGCTTTCCCTGCAAACCCATATTACCAGTTTATCCTCCCAAGGTGCCGGAACGGCAGCTTTCCAGGCCATCCCAAAACCAAGCTCTTCTTAAATGAAATAGCCAAAGCCACCTCCTGCCTTGTGCAGTTTCTTGCTGTTCTTGAGGTTTATCCAGAGTTGAGAGGGGACACCCTGGGGTACCCAGTCCTGGGCCCCAGATCTGTGGCTCTGAGGCCTCAGCACTCATGGGGGAGTGGTGGGGGTATTCCAGCTGGGAGCTGGGGGAAAGATCAGAGACAGGGAGGTGGGGATGCCAGACCCACTAACTGCTGGACCTCTCCTGGGTTTACCTGAATTACCCCATCATGGATGCCTGAGTCCCTGATGAATCCCTCTGCAAGCCTCTGGGAATGATGGACATTCCCAGGGCCATTCAGCATTCCCTCCACTGCAAACTATTGGGTTGGGAGGGGGTTTGGCTTATTTTTTTCATAAAACTAATAAGGTTGTTTCCACACAAACATTTTTCCTGGTGTCTGTGGTGCTCTGGTTTCCTATTTGCTTGTCCATCACAATTTTCAGACATGTGACAGGACTGAACTGTTACAAACAGGCCAGGAAGCTGTAGGATATCTCTGCAGGAGCCAGGTCAGCAGGGTTCCTCCGAGGGTACAGCAAGGGTTTTGCCTTCACTGTGCCAAGGGCCAGCTCTGCTTCTGCCTGTTCTGGTCCCCTCTCCTGTCCTGGTGTTTCCCATCAAGTGGATTGAATGCTCTCCTTGCCATCAAATGTTGCCCAGCTTGTTGCCCAAAAAGCCATCACAAGGTTCCTGTGTGAGGCAGCAGAGATATGTGGGGCCCCTTGCAGGGGTTTGCCAGGGTGCAGGGGGCTCAAGACAGGAGATCTCCCATTAGGAGCAACCCCAGCTCTGGGAGCTTTACACCAACATGGGAGAGGCTGGGGACTGAGGTGGAGATGGCACCATTTCCCTGGTAACCACTCCTGTCTGCTTTAGAGCAGCACTAACTGAACCAATTTTATTTATAATTGTCTTACTTATATAAACTAGGGCTCCCTAAATCAAGCTTAACTGTTTGCGGCTACAGGAAACTTCCATCTCCAGCAGCAGTTTCAGTGATAAAGCCTGGAGGATATTATTAATAACAATAATAACAGAACAGCAGGAGTCTTTTCATTTTCAAATAATTTTATGGACTAACTAACTGTTCTCCTGCATGGCAAAGGTGGGAAAACTGAGGCAGGACACAGTGCTCCCTCCCAGAGCCAAGGCAGCCTCTCTGGCTCATACCATTCTGGGGCAGCAAACCTCATGGGTCGCTCATGGGCTGTGCAGAAGGTACCCAGGTGTCAGCACCTGCCCTGGAAGCAATTCCTGCCTAAGCCCATCCTCTCATTTGGCTGCTCTGCAATTCCCAGCCACAAAGCAGCCCAAGCCTGCCGGTGTTGGCAGCCCTGGCTTATGAGCACCTCTGACCACAGATGACCCCATGTTATGAGAGAAAATTAGGGCTTGATCCAGACAGGAGGGACCAGCAAACACCGTCCAGGCAGGGAGCAGTGTCTGGGCAGGAGCTGGCTCCCAGCCAGCCATGGAGAGGTGAGAGAGGCTTCTGCCTCACAGCAGTCCTGGGCTGAGTGTGCCCCAAATGGGGAATTTCTTGAGGCCAGTTGCTAATGCCCATCTAATATTTCAATTATTGCTTTCCCAAGCGATAACAGGGTATGTGTGATTTACATATTTCTGTCACAACCTGCTGTCCCCAGAGGGGTGCCAGGAGACGCTGTCCTTGCTGCCACACGTGAGGCACTCTCTCACACACCCCACAAGTCTGCCGAGCCCAGATCTCCCTTGAGGGGAGAGGGACAGTGACAGTGGCAGGAGCACCGTGGCCCGGCAGATGCCGGGCACATGAGGGGCACCAGGAAGGAGCAGATATGGAAGGGGTTTTGAGGTAGCTGTGTTTGCTCACAGCATGTGTGTTTGGGTGTGGGAATTCGGTATTTTTTCCCCAAACCGAAGTTGCCCAACCCAACAATCCCCGCAGGCAGGTGAAGGTGCCCCACTCTAGACCCCCGCCCTTCCCAGGGGGTCTCTGAGTGCTGCGGGGGATGATCAACGCCCGGTGTGCGGCAGCACCTGGTGGGGATGTAGGGATGAGGGGACCCGGGACACCCCCAGCCGCGCAAGGGGGGTCGTGGGAGGTGGGCGCTGCAGGGCTGCACACGGAGGGTCCCTGTCTCTGGGGACAACCCTTCCGCCCGTGCTGCCGGCGGGGAACCCCCCCCCGGACTGTGTCCCGGTGCCGTGCCGGGCCGTGCCGGTGCTCGGCGCTGCCGTGCACCGAGGGAGGGGCGGACGAAGGGATTGGCCGCTCCGAACCGAGACCCGGCCCCGCCGGGCGGCTGCTGCCCGTGACACTCGCCCGCCCGCGCCTCCCGGGGCGGCCGGTGCTGCCCGCGGCTCCGGGACCATGGACCGGCTCAGTGGTAAGAGGGGACGGGACGGGACGAGAAGGGAAAGGACGGGACGAGCATCCCCTTTCCCGGGAGCACGGCGCGGAGGAGAGAAGGGTTTCCCATCCCAGTTCCAGGCTGGGGATCGCGCATCCCATCCCGACCAAGCGGGTGCGTCTCACCGGCTCGATGTGAGACCCTGCTCCCAGGGTGCCTTTACCCCTTACCAGCCTTGCGGCAGAGCCAGTTGGGGCACAAACTGGTGCCAGTTTCCCTTTGCTGGTCAGATGGGTAAAAAACCACCAGCCTGCAAGGAAGTCTATAGGGTGTAAGCACTTGTTAGGGGAAATTGTGGTCGTAGAAAGGGAGGTGACTTTTGAGATAGAGCTGATCAGATTTAGAGGCTTTCCTTATCTGGGGAAGATACCAGTGGTCTCATAAAGCCACGGAGGGCCTGATCCCCACCCTGTTGGGAAGTGGCTGCGTTCCCACATGTGTGTGATTCCTGCCTGCAGCTTGTGGCATCGGGCTCACGTAGCTGTTAGGCTTTGATCTGGGATATGTATAAACCTGCCAGGGGCTTTGGGCCAACTTTGTAGAGAAGGTCCTGGCTTTCTGCTAGGGCTGGCAGGTCCCCGGAGGGAGCGGAGGAAAACTTTCAGGGGGCTTGCTGTTTGCTGCCACTGAGCAGGGGCCTGGGGCTGCAGAGGAGGAGCAGGTGGTGACATGATGTAGTACGGGGGTCCTGGCCCTTGACCTGTCCTTGGAGGTGCTACAGAAGCACCAGCCAAAAACGATAACAGGGAGGCCAGGGGCCTCAATCTGGCTCTGCAGGCTGGGACCACGCTGAAATCCCAGGGGAGTTCAGGCACTGCTGTGTCTGCAGCTGTGGGTCAGCACCAGAAAGACCCAAGGGTCAAGAGTTCCCCTTCCCGATGTAAAAGGATGGGGTGGTGTTTCCGCAGTGGAAACACAGTTATGAGGAGTGTGAGACTTGTGGAAACACAGCTCATGGTGCTCGGAGAGCAGTGTCAGTGCCCTGCAGCCTGGGAGGGGACAGGGCTGGTGACAGGGACAGCCTTCCTCCACCTTCCCCTGTGGTTGCAGCTCGCCCTGCCTGCCAGCCTGGATGCCTTTGCCAGCTCTGAAGGAGGGTGCTGTTGCAGGAGGAGTGTTGTCAAATGACATGTGATGCCAGAGGTGCAGGGTCCCAGAGTACATCACCAATGGGAGAGCAGAGGGTCTTGGCTTCCCTATTCTCCTGCTGTGCAAGCTGATGGGAGGTTACCCTGCTTGCATCACAGTCCACCCCAAAAATCAGTCTTGGGACCTCATGGCAGAGGATGCCCAGCATACTGTGGAAGCATGATGTCTGGGCATGGTTTGGCCTCTCCACAGGTTGGCCTTGCCAGGGAAGAGCCTCTCTGCTGTTTCATCCCCCTCACTGGTGCCTGGTATGGTAGCAGCAGCAGCGCCTGCCTGCTTTGTTTTGAGTGCTTGTGATGAATTGCTGTTGGCACCTGGATGGCTCTTTGCTAATGTAAACCTTCTCCAGACCCTCCTGCTCATCATCCAGAGCCACTGGATCCCTCTGGTGGGCTGTGACACATGGAGAGAAAGCAGAGGGTTCTCTCCAGGTTTCCTTCCCTAGTACAAAGGGTGGTGAGTCTGGTGGTGGGCAGGAGCTCTGTGCTCCGTTCCCAGCTGTCTGGCAACCCCTTTGTTCACCTGGAGCTCTGCTCAGGCCCTGGTATCCTGACTTTATGATCTGCCAGCTTCTGGTTGGTGTATCTTGACTTTATGATCTGCCAACTTCTTCAGTGCTTTCCATGTGCCAGCTGAGCCTGCTGCCTTCCCCAGCAGGCTGGGCAGCACCCAATGCAAGGCTCAGCTCTACACCAGTGGCTAACTGGGGGAAATGGTGCTGTGGGCTGTTGGGGGAGTTGTTTCAGGTTGTGCTGATGGAGAACACAGCTCACAGCGTGTGATTTGGGAGGTAATCTGTGCCAGAGCCTTTGCTCTAATAGGCCTGTGCTCACACATGGCTTCTCCTCATTAGTGCCTCTTCCATGACCTTTTGTGCCACCAGAATTTAGGTCCTGCACCAAACTTATCTGGGGTCTAAATCCAGCAAAGCCGGTGGAGATGTGTCAGGGATAAACTTGGCTCCAGCTTGCCCACAGGAATGGGGAGGTTGCAGGACTGGTGGGAGGGAGCCCGGATCATTCCTGACCTGCCTCCTCAAGCTGGCAGCAGGAATCCCGCCGGCCCCGCGCCGGTGGAAGGGGAGCGGAGTGGGTGAGAAACACTGACCGGGCCAGCTGTTAGCGAGCCAGGCAAGTGCCGAGCTCTCCTCCGCATTGCAGCCATTCCTTCCGCTGGAAACTCAGCTGCCCGGGGCCACCGCCTGTTTATAGCCCGGCAGCGCGTGGGGAAGGGGCTGAGCCCCCCTCGGGCTGCCCCTTCCCCTTAGTGCTGGGCAAAGTGGGGTGGGAGGGTGGCCCCGGGGATGCTGATGCGAGTGGAACTGGGAAGCGCTGGAGTTGTTTGCCCCTCTGGTTCTTCCAGTATCCTTTGTGCAGCCTTGGTTTAACCAGGGAAATAGGTCTCGCTGGAGGTACTGGATCCCTGCTGAAGCCAGCCTGGCTGCTCTGGAGGGGCACAGACCTGCCTGCCCTGCACGGGTGCCTGCTGCAGAGGAGCTGCTGGAGAGGGGAAGGAGGCTGCTGCGGGAGTAGTGTCCTCCATCCAGGAGCCTTGGGAACTGTCCTATCTGCCTGGGCTGTCTGGAAAACCTGCCTCTTTCCCGCGTTTGCTCTTGACCTGGAAATGCTGTTTTCCGGAGCAAATGTGCTGAGCTGAGAGGCTGACGTGCCCTTTACTACGGAGCAGAACTGAGCTCCGATGTGCCTGCAGCTGGCAGGAGGTTCTTATCCCTGCCCAGGAAAACTTTGTTTAAGGTTTTGAAGAAGTTTCTCATCCCAAACAGTGGGAAGCCTTCTCAGAGGAGGACAGAGAGAGAACACAGGGTTTGACCCAAGATGTG